TTTTACAATGTTGTATTAGTTTCCGGTGTACAGTAAAATAATTCACTTATACACATATATATTATGTAGCTTCTTTTTTTACGTTCTCTTCTTCTTTCCATTGCGTCTTTTTAGGTCTTCTGCCCGTTTTTGGATTGGGCGGTTTGTTTTTTTGATATTGAGCTGCATGAGCTCTTTGTATATTGTGGAGATTAATCCCGTATCAGTTGCTTCATTTGCAAAGAACTGACACACACACGACTACATATAGAACAGATAACTAATGAGAGCCTACCGTGGAGCACAGGGAACTCTACTCAATGCTCTGTAATGACCTATACGGGAAAAGAACCTGAAAAAGAATGAATATATGTGCATGTATAACGGATTCGCTTTGCTGTACCCCTGAAACTAACCCAACATTGTAAATCAACTGTACTCCAATAAACATTAACTTGAAAAGTCCATTTAAACTGTATTCTGAAGCACAGGAAACCCCATCACCATGAAAAAAAAAAATGATAGTGGTGAGGTTTGAGCTCTTACCCGTAGGGGAATATGGAGGAGAGGAAATTATCCAAAATGATGATTGATGAAGCGCCGTGAGAGAGGTACGGAGAGCAGAGAGGAATGGCTTCTGGGGAGAAACAGCAGTGAACAGCTCCAGGAAGATGGGTTCTTGGGTTGGAAAGGAGGTCGTGCCCTATTTCCCGGGGCAGCATCACAGCAGTGGTGGCTTGGGCTGCGCAGTCAACGTCACGGGAGAGAAATGAGTGTGGTCCATGTTCGAGAACATTCGGTGGGGACAGGAAGGGGAAAGATGGGGACAGTAGCTTCAGGGAAGGAGGAGGGAGGTCTCGGGAATGTCTGAGGATGCCTGCCAGTTCTTTTTTCCTTTGAAAAATGCCCAGCCGCACCTGACATCTGGCATTTTTATGTCACGTTGGTGGAAGCAAAGGAGAAGAAAGGGCGGGAGAGAATGTCAGGAAAATGCCTCACGCAGAGAGGAGTGGGTGGACAGCTGTGGTGGGAGAGGCAGGAGATGTCTGCGGTCAAGACATGAGTTACGAAGGGGCCAGATGGGGAGACTGGAAAGAGTGGAGAGGATGGAGTTTGGGAGGGACAACTGGACACTCACGCTGGAGGTGCCGCTTCTCGTGAAGATACGGCACCAGCGCTGCATCTAAGATGGACGGAGTGCGCCTTGAGTGAAGCTGCTGGCATAAAGATGACAACGTCCCTGAAAGCTGTCCCCATTCTTATTAGCATTTCTTCACGTCCCTTGATAGAATGACAGGACATTCTCATTGATGGCTTTCTACCCTCTTCCATGCATTTCCCTTTTAACTTCACAGAACTCCCGATGTCCCATCTTTCTACAGGCATCAGATTGATGTCATCTAAACCTCACCATATGCTTTTCGTTAATGATGGAAAGTTTCTTTCTCATCACCAAAGGCGTTTATGAGAGACCTAAGGGTATAAGTGAAACACTTTATTACTAAAAAAAAAAAAAAAGAAAGAAAGAAAGAAAATAACCTGTGTCTTTGGGAAAATTATCTGGAGATATGAAAACATATAGGAAAGTTAATAAAAAGGGATTCTGCACTGTTTCCATCAAATGTTCCATCCTCTGTAATGTAGTGTCTTTTGTCAAGTTACGAGAGCAAAGCATATGACGCTTAATCACAGCATCTTGAATTCATATGGAGAGGCTGCATATGTGTCCAAATATGCTAAATGGACAGATTCTGGAAGTTCCAGATGTGAAAATTTAAAAAAAAAGAAAATACAGTTCATCCCCTGAAGTTCTGTCAGAATCCCTTAGGACTTGTTCATATTTCTTACTTTAGTAAGAATGTTTACTAACACTACTACGGGAGTAATACTACTTTGGGAGAAGCTAGTTATCTTGAAGGCATCTCCACCGCCATGTTTCAGTGGCCGTGAAAGATTTTCTCTTCTTTCTGGGAGAGTTGATATTTGTTTGGCTTTTCTGACCAACTAACGTTTTGGACCCATGCGCTTGTCCCAAGGTCCCTTTCATCTTGCCTTCCAGGAGAGAGCAGAGCGGAACAGAAATGGAAGAGGATGGATGCGCCAGGGCTCAGGATAATGTAGGCGAATCGTCCACTGTAAAAGATAACTTCATTTTCTCTTGGAGAGGCACCATGAATGGGGGAAACGTCGGCTGGGCGTCTGGCCCCAGTTTGTCCCTCTAACCTCTTGGGACCTCTCTGAGATATCTATAAACTCTGAAAGGGAAAACTCCCAAGGTTCGTTTTCATTCTAGCAAACACTGCTTGTTTCCCTTCCAGCAAAGAAATGGCATTCACCGGGTGGTCACGATGCATCCGCATTCCCACTCTTCCAGAGTAGTCATTAAAAAAACATCACCCCTCAAAATCGTAACAACTTCTTCCTATCATAGCCTGAATCAGTGTCTCCAGAGATAGCAGGTCTCTGTCTCTAGAACTGGGGAATGTGACCTGATTTGGAGAAGAAATCTTTGCAGACTGTCACCTTCAGAACTCAGCCTTGTCTGAAAATCCATCCAGTCAAGGTTAGATTTTTTTTTTGCTTTTATTTATTTATTATTTAATTTTTTTATTGAGGTATAGTTGATTTACAATATTATATTCATTTTGGGTGCACAGCGCAGTCACTCACTATTTTAAAGGTTTGTAGTTATTATAGAATATTGGCTGTATTCCCCATGTTCTACAATATATCCCCATGGCTTATCTGTTTTATACATAGTAGTTTGTACCTCTTAATCCCCTACCCCTCTATTGCCCCTCCTCCCATTCTCTCTCTGCACTGGGAACCACTAGTTTGTTCTCCGTATCTGTGAGTCTGCTTCCGTTTTGTTATAGTCATTCATTTGTTTTATTTTCTTTTTAGATTCCACATATAAGTGGTAACATGGAATATTTGTCTTTCTGTGTCTGACTTATTTCACCTAGTATGATCATCTCTGGGTCCATCCATGTTGCTGCAAATGGCATGATTTCATTCCTTTTCATGACTGAGTAGTATTCCATTGTATATAGGTACCACATCTTCTTTATCCGTTCCTCTGTCGATGGACCCTTAGCTTGCTTCCACATCTTGGCTACCGTAAATAGCACTGCTGTGAACATGGGGGTGCATGGATCTTTTTGAATTAGTGTTTTCATTTTCTTCAGATACACAGCAGGTTTGAAAAGGGGGGACGAAGGTCCACAGCAGAACATGAAGCGGGAAATCCTTTCCTAACACGTGCTGGGGGTAGAGCCGTGAGGTTGCCCCTGGGATTCCCGAATCCTGACCATCCAGGCAATGCTTGCCTATCCGGACCCCCGCCCTGCCTGGACCCTGCCTCGGAACCAGAAAGCTCTAAAAAGCCTGAGAGATCGAGGCAGGTCACCAGCAGAAACTGGAAACAAATGCTCCATCTTTAGATGTAGGTCACTGCTTCTCCCCATGGTGGAAAGCACACCGTTCATCATCCATCTGGCGTATCAGTTGAGCAATGACTGGCACCTAACCACAGCCTCCGCCAAAGCTGTCTGCCGTGGGAGAGGTCAGCCTTGAAAATAATTTTCCAAACACGTTGGACCTCCAGATGCTTTCAGTGTGGAAAGCTAGAGTTCATTTATTAACAGCGTAAGTGCATTTCCCCTGAAGAGCAAATGAGAAGAACGTGGTCATCTGCTCTAGGCAAGCGCGACACAAAAGGAGGTGGAATGAAGTCCCCTCTCGCAGAGGGGCTGTGCGTTCCTTGCAAAGGTGTTGTTACTATTTATGGGGAAGGTCATCAGTTTTTCTGAAGTGAGTGTGCTAGCAAACCGAGAATTTTTAAAGAATAAGGTTTTTTTAATTTGATATACGACACTTACATGTAGAAATTGCAATTTTTCTTTAATTAACTGATTTATTTATTTTTGGCTGCGTTGGGTCTTCGTTGCTGCACGTGGGCTTTCTCTAGTTGCGGCAAGCGGGGGCTACTCTTCGTTGCGGTGTGCGGGCTTCTCATTGCGGTGGCTTCTTTTGTTGCGGAACATGGGCTGTAGGCGCGCGGGCTTCAGTAGTTGTGGCGCACGGGCTCAGTAGTTGTGGCTCGTGGGCTCTAGAGCGCAGGCTCAGTAGTTGTGGCTCACGGGCTCAGTAGTTGTGGCTCGCGGGCCTAGTTGCTGCGCGGCATGTGGGATCTTCCCGGACCAGGGCTCGAACCCGTGTCCCCTGCGTTGGCAGGCAGATTCTTAACCACTGTGCCACCAGGGAAGCCCAGAAATTGCAATTTTTAACTCACTTGAAATGGCTGTCCTCTAATTACTGGGTTACTCTACATGAGAAATTCAACTGCATGGGTGTGGGTATAAGCATAAATTCATATAATATGTAATACATATTATTGTAGCTATCTATCATCTACCAGTGTTTCATATCTATCAATCATCTATCTACTGTCATCTATCAAATCTATCAATCTTTCCTCTATCCATATCTATGTATCTGTTATCTATCCATCCACCAATCATTTATCTGTTCTATCATCTATCTAACATCTATCGAATCTGTAAATCTTTCATCTGTTCATATCTATCTCTCCACCTATCACCTGTCATTTATCTGATGTATCTATCTTTCCATCCATCCATCCATGTATCTGTCTATGTATCTATCTATCCATCCATCCTCTATTTGTCTGTCTGTCTCTCTCTCCATCCATCTTTCTATCTGTTTATCTATCCATCCATCCATGTATCTATCTATGTATCTATCCATCCATCCTTCTGTATGTCTGATTGTCTGTCTGTCTGTCTACCTATCTATCCATCCATCCTCTATATGTCTGTGTCTGTCTGTCTACCTATCTATCCATCCATCCTTCTATATGTCTGTCTGTCTATCTACCTACCTATCTCTCTATCCATCCTTCTATATGTCTGTCTATCTTTCTATCTATCTATCATCTCCCCAGTAAATCATTCACACATAATACCCTCAATGATTCTGCCATTATTCTCATTCTTCAGGTGAAAAAGCACCTGATGGAGTCACCATTTACCTGAGGAAGGGGGACACAGCCATAGGAGATGGAGCTGAGATGTGGCCTCACCTACCCTTTTCATTAAAGGTGTGTGATTCGCAATCACACTTACATTTGACCTGCTCCAGGGTCATGGTTACCCGTATTCATTTGTGTACACAACTATATTCAATTTTGTTATTGTTCTGTAGAATATCTTGCAGTAATTCAGTCAGCATTATAAATACCCACTGGGTATTTAATTTTATTCCACCTTCCTATTACTGTTCAGAGTCCCTGGAATACATCTTTTAACCCAGTTTTTTGAGTTTGTGAAAGCGTTCTCTCTGATAGGGGACAGAAGGTGAATTTCACTTGTGTGAGCTTCTCAATCACAAGGATTCAGAGGGAGTGGGAATTTACAATACAGTCGGCTTCTAGAGAAGCCCGTGGGAGCCCATATAAGTGCCCTGCTACCTTTGACCAGCGCTTATGGTCATGGCTAAATTTGGTTCTTTGTTTTACTGTTGATGTAATAATCAATTACTATGTGATTACTATTAAGCCATCTGACCTATTCCGGATGTAGTTTAAAAACATCTCACTTAATGTTCTCACCCCGCCCCCAGGAGATAGGACTCAAAGGGATCAGTTTTACCGTGGGAAGCAGCCCAGGCACCAGAGCCCTGTTTCCATGGCAGGTAGAGGTAAGTAAGGAAGTGCCATACAGCGGTTCTCATTGCTTCAAAGTATCTTTGCATGAAATACGTCTTGATACTTCACAAAGAGAGTGCATTGCTCAAATCCAGATGTTTTATGGGAGAGTGATGGAAATATTTGTATGGCTGAATTCTAAGTCTGAATTTGAAGCATTTCCTTCGCTCAAATGTTTGAGGACTTTTCAAAATTTAACTTTATTATTTTATTGAAGTGTAGTTAATGTACAATATTATATAAGTTACAGGTTGTACAATGTAGTCATTCACCATTTTTCAAGGTTATACTCCATTTATAGTTATTGTAGAATAGTGGGTATATTCCCTGTGCCGTACAATATATCCCTGTAGCTTATTTTCTACATCATAGTTTGTACCTCTTAATCCCCTCCCCCTATCCTCCCCCTCCCCGCTTCCCTCTCCCCACTTGGAACCACTAGTTTATTCTCTGTATCTGTGAGTCTGCTTCTGTTTCTGTTTTATTCACTAATACTAGTTGTATTTTTTAGATTCCACATATAAGTGATATCATACAGTATTTGTCTCTGTCTGTCTTATTTCGCTTAGCATAATGTGGAGAGAACTTTCATTTATAGGGACGATATCAGCTATACTGAGGGACGCTCACCACCCAGTCTGCCATGAGCCCCCATGACAGATGTATAACCATCCTGTTTCCATGGTCAGTTATTGGGGTTTATGCATCGGCCCTTACCCAGGCACAGAAAATGTGGATTTTTCCATGCCTTTGCCAGACGATACGACGTTAAAATGCCATTCATTTGGGTCAGCCAACCACCTGAAAGATGCGATGTTTGGGGAGGTTGGCTTGAAGGACCATGGCTCGTAGATAGCATAGGTGTTACTTTCAACTCACCCTGGACCACGCCAAAGCTGAGTTCTTAGACCACTGCTGTTGTAGTTCTTCACAGAACTGCTACCTCTGCACAGCACTTTGTTAGTACGCACTGGGTGTTAAAATGAAAATATTTATAGCAGAGTGCATTTCCAAGTTATGTCACTGTGTTCCCTGTGGGGGAACTATTGAAAACATTTTGGGGATTAATGACTCAGAGATACGACTGGAACAGCTTTTCTTCCCAGGGAGAATTGTTGGGAAATGGTTATTCACAGAACAGAAGAGGTATCACTTTTTCCTTTGGCTGCCAAGAAGCTCAGAACTCAATTATTTTTAAAAATCTTGTCCTTGTGGTGGACAGGGACATAAAGACATTGCAGGTGAAGGGGTTGAGGGAAGAGTACATTTATAAATATTCTGTCTTCTGAGGGACAGGGATAAATTGGGAGATTGGGATTCACACACACACAGTACTATCTACCAAACAGACAACTAATAAGGACCTACTGTAGAGCACAGGGAACTCCACTCAGTACTCTGTAATGACCTCTATGGGGAAAGACTCTGAAAAAGAAAAGGTACATGTGTACGTATAAGTGATCCACTTTGCGGTACACCTGAACCTGACAGAACATTGTAAATCAACTACACGCCAACAAACCGTTTAAAAATTAAATAAATAAATACTCTGCCTTCTAAAATCTTTGTGATGGTCAGATTAAATTTATATTTGTTTGGAGAATTGCAAACATATACAAAAGCAGGGAGAAGAGTATATCGTATCCCTCAAATACCCATTGCGCTGAGCGATTACCACCCCCTGGGTAATCTTGCTGAATCCATAGCCGCACCCACTCCCCTCCTTGGACCTCCAGACTCTCCTTGAGGCTAGTCACAGGCGTCAGACAATTGCATTCAGTTATCTAATGTTATCTTATTTTGTCCTGCGTATTCTTAAGCAATAGACACAGTACCTGTAAGGCATGTGATGGGGAGGCAGGCAGACACATGCATATTTGCACAAACGCATGTGTTTTTCCCATGAGTCACTCGACTTCTGCAGCCGTGCTTGGGTTTGCATTCACCCTCAGCCTTGGAAACTGGCCCAAGACCATCCCTTGCTGGTGAGAGGGTGTCCAGTTGCCAGGTCTGTATGGTGCTGATGGCTCTTACCCGAAATTGTTCCTTTCCTTTGACCCCAATGGCATCTTCCGGAGTGGAAAGATGCAATATAAAAATAAAAGTATATCTCCCGTTGGAGTTGGAGGGAACCAATAATTCTTTTCTTCCCTCACCCTCTCGTATCTGGAATCACTACCAAGGGCTGCATTTACCAAGGAGACGATGCTGTCATCCTCGGGATTCTGGGAGGAGAACCCATCCTATCCTAGCATGAGATGACACTACATATGTGCCACCTGCTAAGATCAAGAGGTGACGTGAGTCCAATGCTTCTCAGTACTTCTCCCCTCGTCTGGGAGCAGAGAAGCCCAAAAGCCAGAGAGACGACACTTGCTCTCGATCTTTTCTTTTCTTCAAAACGCCATGACTGTTTCCACGATCCCGCCTGCCTACATCCTTTCAGCTCACTTCTCGGAGTTGTTTCCACATAAATCACCACCTAAAAGCACTATGAAATCACCCACGATGCCGTCCTCTGGAATGCGCTTCGGGGTAACAGCTGCTGTTGGGTTTCTGCTCTTGCAAAACTGGTATTTATGGTAATCCATTTAGCAATTATGATTATCTCAGTTTGTGGGAGCTTGGCAGGGAGTTGACATGGCCTGGCTGCTTTGCAGAAGGAAAGATAATGGACTGAGTTTTCCAGAAGGAGATGACTCAGCGCCTTGAAAGCTGTGCGGAGCAGGGCTGTGCGGGGCTCGTTAGAGGGGAAATGGGATCTCTTTAGGGACACACCCATTACTGGAGACAGCTGGGGCTGTCAAGGATGGCGTGGGCCTTACAGACAAGGTGTCCTCAAAGGTGGAAAACCCTCAGAAAAGCATCGGGAGGTGATGTCTGCGGAATCTTCCATAGGAGACTTCTGCAGAATAAGGTGTCATCGCAACATCACAGAGACTGCACAGCTAATGGTTTCTTAAGGTTTTTGCTTGGCTTCTCCTCAGAGACGTAGAGCGCGGCTTGGCACCCGTCGTCTGTACAGAGCCAGGGAGGAAATATTGGGGGCTTTCTCGGCCCTACACGTCGTCTCAGCTACTCATCTCGGCCTTGCAACGGGTACACAGATACACGCGGTGCCTAAACGGATGCTCTTGGTTGTGTTCCAATAAAGCTTTATTGATCTGAACTTCACATAATTTTCAGGTCTCACAGAATATTGACTTCTTTCATGTCTTTTGACTTTTTCCCCCAACCATTTAAAAAGTACATACTTACTCTTCGCTCGTACACAGAAACAGGCAGCTGGCACGATCTGCTGGGTTATTTGATGCGTTATTAATCTACGGGTTATTGTTCGCCATCTGCTAGTATAGATGACCTGTTTTAGCATTCTGCAGGGAAACAGAACCCATCGGATATCTATCTATATCTATATATCTATATCTGTATCACCTGTCATCTTTCTGTCTAGTCTGTATGTCTGTCTATTATCTACCCATCTCAGTCTATGTAATATTGTCTATCTAATCCATTGCTCTGTCAGTCATCTATTGACCTATCTATCTGTCATCTATCTACTTATCTATTATCTGTGTGTCTATCTATCTACAGAGAGAGAGAGAATTGTTTACGAGTAATTGGCTCCCATGATAATGGAGACCCAGAAGTCCCACCATCTGCCATCTACAAGCTGGAAACCCCTTCCTACTTGCTCACCTGCAGAAGAGAGGACTGAAAGTGACTGATCCGTGTCCCAGGATACTTCGCAGCTGGGGTTGTCCCCTGAGCCAGATTCCTCCAGGTGCATCCACCGTCATTGCAGGAGTCCCAGAGAGGAGCTAGAAAGGCTCACCATGAAGTACACATCTCCTGGCTAGCACCATGCGGTGGGGTCCTCTGGAGATGCTGGGGCAGGGTCCACTCTCCAGCCTTGGTGTCACGGAGACTGCAGAGTGGGGTGACAGTGTGCTGTTTCCACGCAAAGGTCTGAGGGGCTCTGGGTGCTTCTCTTAACTCCATGGAGCCTGGTGCTGTCGTTCCTGTCTGTGAGCCATCCAGCCTGGTCCTCCAGTATCCCAGACGTTGTTCTAAAAGCAGAACGTTTGAAGCTCTAAATGCTTCTATGTGTGGAGGCTGATAGAATCCTCATTTTCCACATGAGGAAGTTAAGATTTAGGGAGGTGAAGAGGTTTGAGAAGCTGGTGGCTAAAGGTGGTGCCGTTAATAAAATGAATCCCAAGGCAATTCACCCATTCAGTCTGATTCCCCTGCTAGTACAGCTACTGTGGCCTTGCGGACAAGGAAGGGGGCAGATGGAGAAAACAGATGCTGATCCTGTCCTCGTAATGTCCAAACAACAAGGACTTGCTTTTATCTGTCTGCAACTGGACTTAATTAGAACGTTAGATTGCTGAGCTGAAATCACCTGCTGGAGTTGGGTCAGACCATCAGACATGCCTGCGTTAAGTGGCTTTGTTTAAATACAGCCTGCAATGGATAATTTTATCTGTCAACTTGGCCAGGCCACAGTGACCAGTCAAACGGTTTAGATGTTTCTGGGAAGATATTTTATACCTGGAGTGAACATTTGCATCGGTAGCCTTTGAGTAAAGCAGATGACCTGCTGTAATGTGGTGGGCCTTATCTTGCTGCCCTGATGACACTTGGACGTACGACTGAAACATCAACTCTTACTGAATTTTCAGGCTGCTGGCCTGCCCTGGGGATTTTGGACTTGCCAGCCCTAGAATCATGTGAGCCAATTCCTTAAAATAACTTCTCTCCCTCTCTCGATGGATAGATAGATAGGTAGATAGATAGATAGATATAGATAGATAGATAGATAGATGTGATGGATGGATGGATGGATAGTTAGATAGGTAGGTAGGTAGATAGATAGATAGAAGTGATGGATGGATGGATGGATAGATAGAAGTGATGGATGGATGGGTGGATAGATAGATAGATAGATAGATAGATAGATAGAAGTGATGGATGGATGGATGGATAGATAGATAGATGATAGATAGATAGATAGATAGATAGATAGATGTGATGGATGTACCCAGTGGTACATTTGTAAAATTAAAATAGATGTATGAACCCATTGACATTTATCACCCCAAGTCTGTAGTTTACATTAGGGTTTGCTCTTGGTGGTGTACATTCTGTGGCTTTGGGCAAATGTATGGTGACATGTGTCCATCATTTTATCATCATACAGAGTAGTTTCACTGCCCTAAAGCATCTTCTGTGCTCTGTCTGTTCATTTCCCTTTTTCCCCTAGACCCTGGCAATCACTGATCTTTTTTTCTGTCTCCATATTTTGTCTCTTTTTTTATCATGTCATAGAGCTCGAAGCACACAGTAGGTAGTCTTTTCAGATTAGCTTCTTTCGTTCAGTCATATGCATTTAAGTTTCCTTTCCCAGGTACTTTTTTTTTCTTTTCTGTACTTATTTTTTTAATATGTATTTTTTCATTGGGGTACAGTTGCTTTACAATGTTGTGCTAGCTCCTGCTGCACAGCCAAGTGGCCCCACTGTATGTATGTATACACGTGTCCCCTCCCTTTTGGATTTCCCTCCCATCCAGGTCACCACAGAGGACCAAGTAGAGTTCCCTGTGCTATACAGCAGGTTCTCACTAGATATCTATTTCATACCCAGCGGCGTATATAGAGTTCAGAAAAAAAATTGTCTATGTGCCTATTTATAGTAATATCTATAAGCCTTTCAGGATCCATCAGGGGGATTTCTCTTTCCCCAGCATCACCTCCCCCTCTGCTGTCATCAACTGACAATCACTTTTCTGGTTGTATTCCTCACCAGTCCTATATTCCAGATGTGGCAGCTGGGCAGGCATGCACGTGGACCACTATCTCTGTACATTTGCCATCCATAAACACTCACTTCATTCTACAACCATTTCTTAATGTCTAGCCTCTTCACAAAACACATAGGAGTGAGGACTCACCCGATCTACCATTTTGGAAATGGTCTATAAATGTTAGAATGTGTCCTGCCGACATCCATCCTGCAATGCTCAGCTCACAAAAACCCATCTCCTCTTCCAGGATCCTGCCCTAGACTCGCCCCGCCGGCATACATCGCTTCTCTGGGCCTCCACGGTACCCAGGGTGACCCGCCCCCAACCCCCAATGGAATGAAACGATGCCCACGGGCAATGAGCCAACCCAGTGAGGCATGAGGAAGATTGGAACCATCTGGAGAGGAAATCTCCATGAGTCTCTCTCTCTCTTGTGTTTTTTTTTTTTTTTAATTTTTATGGGAGTAGAGTTGCTTTACCGTACTGTGTTAGTTTCTGCTGTGCAGCAAAGTGAATCGGCTCTACGTATACCTGTATCCCATCTTTTTTGGATCCCCTTCCCATTTAAGTCACCACACAGCGGTGAGTAGAGTTCCCTGTGCTACACAGTAGGTTCTCATTCGTGATCTATTTTATACATAGTGCCAATGGTGGATATATGGGAGATTGGGGTTGACATATATGCTCTGTGATTCTCTCTAAATAGCCTGGGTTCGGAAGAAATGGAAGCTTGGCTAGCGGGTGGCAGGACCCCAGTGGTAGCATGGCCGTGGGGTATGCAAACTGGACAGCCAACACCTGTATCCATCTGATGACACCTACAGTGGATACATCAAGCATGGTGGGTTGTCCGTGGCTTAGACGTCTCCTTCTACCAGAAGCTCCCAGGTGTGTCTGATTGGAGCTGAATCATGACAAGCCAGAGTTGAACTTGCTGGGATAAGAGCCTGGAGCCAGACAACCCTGTCTCTGTGGAGATTTAGGGGAGCAGCAGGGACCACCCTCCTTGGCCACCAGTTCTGGCATCGTGGAACCCAACTTGTCTTCTGAGAACAGATGGGCTCCATGGGGAACAGGTGAACCACTGAGAAATGCATGAAAGATTCTCACAGCCGTTGACAAAGAGGATAAATCCAGGACGAAAATGGTGGTCGACCTCTCTCTAAAAGAGAACACCCGACCTGGGCACATTACCTTATTTGTGGTATTTTCCACCTTCTGATCATTTAGAGCAGCTCGGGGGTAGGACGGCTTTGTTCTAATCATTTGAGAACTTGGGCTTACACTCTCCACCCCCCGACCCCGTTCTAAAAAAAAAATCCTCCAAATCTCTTCTTACCCTCCAGTTTCCCCCTTCTGAGAATGGTCCCACTGTAGTTGAACCTTGAGCCACGTGGAGGTTCAGAGCACCAAAAATTCGAGTATAACTTAGAGTCAGTACTCTGTGTCCATGGCTCCTCCATATACGAGGGTTCAGCTAACTTGGATCGTGTGGTACTGTCGTACATACTTAGTGGAAGAAATGTGCTTAGAAGTGGACCCATGCCGTTCAAACCTGTGTGGCTCAAGGGTCAACTGTATATATACATAATTATTCAAGTCAAAATCTGGAAGTGGGTGCTTATTGATTCCCTTCTTTCTGTCCTGATCTGAATAATGGTAAACCTTAGAGAATCTACCAACAAAGCAATACCCAGCCCAGCCACTTCTCCCCAAACCCACTGTGACACTTGGGTTTCTCCCACCTGGTACTGAGTCCGCTGGTCATGCTGGATCCAAGGTGTTAATGCACGTCAGACTTTTAGTCTCATGCTGGCACACAGTAGGTGCTACAGAATTGTTGCCCATGATTATTCCGAGAGTAATTGCCCACCCCACCTCCCAGTTATTCTTCCATTGAATGGTTTTCCTCCAAACTGCTACTGACATAAAAGCAACCTGGCCTTTATAGTGATCAAACATCATGTATTAAAGGCCTTTCTGGGCAGAAGGATAATTCCATGTCAGGTGCAGTCAAGTTTAACCGTGTGTGACTGTGAAAACTGTGATAAGGTGGGTGGTAGAATTTTTATAGGAGATGCTTTTGCCTTAGGCATCAGATGCACGCCGTCATGGGAGAAGGCTCGGCAACGGTTCATCTGAAAGGACCACGCCGCGATGTGTTTGTTTTCATTAACAGTGTGCTTGGTGTTGGAAATCTGTAGCGTATGGGTGCTCGCTTAAACCAGTTATTCACTGGGTGTCATTTTCTTACAGAAACAATACTAAGCGTCTCCCCGTTCTACGTCAGGTACCACGTGGTGCTATACAACAGTGCAAAAATCGTGCAGCCTGTTTTGCTTTCATTTTAGAAACAAAATGAGGAATAGCTTGATTATCTTGAGCACTGACGAGCTGAATTTGAAGGAGTTGCAGGTGGAGGCGTGGGTGGTGTCCTTGTCATTGGGTGATGGGAGGACACCACCGTGCTTTGTTTGGGACAGATTCGGGAAAGAGAAGAAAAATGGGATATCTGTGTGAAACAGCTCTAACGTGGTATTCTCAGACTTTAACGTGCTCACGTGTGAGTCTGACATGGTGGGTCCGAGGCGAGACTTGAGAACATCCATTCGTGGCTGGCACCCAGGCGATGCAGATGCCCGGTGGCCCATGTGTTGAGTGGGAAGGGTCTAGAGACGTATTCCAGTGGCCCAACATAGTAGCCAGTAGTCCTCCCTGCCTAACTAAATGTAAATGATTTAAAATAAAAGACAACTTAAAACCTTACTTCCTTGGTCATACCAGCTATGTTTCAAGCAAGTGCTGGGTAGCCGCCATGTTGGATGGCACAGCATAGAACGTTATTCCAGCACTGCAGAAACTTCTACAGGACTGTGTTCGTCTAGAGGCTGGCTGTCACCAAGGAACATGTAGTTACAATAAGGCTAATGGGTTTTTTTTTTGTTTTTATTTTTTTTATTTTTTTTTGCTAATGGGTTTTTAATCTTTGGAATTTTTTTTTTGATTTTAAGATTCGAAGGGGCATGAATGAATACCCACGTGAAATTCTGTATACCACCGTAAAGCCCTTCATAATCAGGGCACAAATATATGTCCCTCAGAACATGGGGCTCCCTAGATATTCTAAAAAGCCCTGATATGAAAGAGCTAAATCCTGAAAAGTGTCCCAGATTGCCACATTTCTAAATATGTTTGTTACACATACTCCTATACCCCCTATGTAGGGTAGCTGTAGAAGTCTACAGCTGTTTATATACACGCATCTGCATATTCTCATATTTTCTTACAGTTATTTTACATTCTCTAGGTGAGCAAAAGACAAGAAGATTCGGGCTTCCCGGAAGCGGAATCACGCAGGTGAGTAAACAGCTGAAAAGTCAACCAATCGTGTTTGAAAATGAGAAACTCACACTGGCTGCGCTGTCACTGGAGATGCAGGAGGCTGATCCCGTTGAGACGTCGGGGGCTGTGCCGCTGAGAGTAAGGCGAACTGCCTTGACAAAGACCCCGGAGAATTTCGTAGACTTAACGCAGCCACAGTTTGTTTATTTTAAATGACTCGTCCTTTGCAGGTGTTCCTACTTGAGGAGATTTCTTCCCGGCGGTGAGTGAGAGATCCAGGTTCCTGGCCAAACTGGTCCTCTGCCGTCAGCAACACCTGCCTCCCAAGGTACCCCTGCTTACATTTGTTGGTTTGTTGCTGTTGGTGTCTTTTGTTGCCGTCGCTTCAGTGCCGCACGGCTGGAAGAGAGAAAACACGTACACGCTTACCCATGGGAGGTTTCCATGGTGTGCATCCTTCTATTCACATTCCTCGAGCCGGAGCTCAACCACACAGACACATCAAATACTGAGACCAGCTGGGAGGTGATGCCAAGCTGAGAAGAGGGATAATTTGCTTTGGGATCAGTTAGTAGCCTCTGCCCATGGATAAAACCCTCCGTTGATGCGTATGCAAGCAGTGACAGGACTCATCCCTTGCTGCCGGGACTGTACGTTGGTACAATCGCTTTGGAAATCCATTTGGCGCCTTCTTGAAAAGCTGAAGGTGACTCAGAAGTTCCCCTCATTGGTAGAAACTCTAGAGAATGTCTTGCATGCGTGTCCGTGTATAAGCGTGCTCTCAGGAGTAATGCCTCTCATACTGCAACCTGCAGACAGCCCTCGTGTCTGCTGGCAGGAGAGCAGATATATAGAGTGTGAAGTGATCGACAATGGAATATTGTACAAAAGTGAAGCAAGTTGACTGAATATACAGGCAACGTCCTCATGCATTTTAGAAATGCACAGTTGAGAGAATAGAGTACAGGAGACCAGACAGTGTGCTATCAATGAATAAAGCAAGCAGAATGGAATACTAATATGTTGTTGAGAAATACACAGACCTTCGGCGAAGTCATTACTATTTTCTTATTGCGCAAAAAAATTTGGGAAAATACTTAACTCTGGGGGGAGTGGTTCTCGAGGAGCATTGAAAGGAAAGGGGATCCCAGAGAGTAATAACGATTTGGAAATGTTCTCGATGTTTGAAGCGGCTGGTGGATCCATGCTTGTTTTGTCTATTCTTTACCTTCACATCACTGCATATCTTCTTTTGAAGATCGCCAACAGTTCACACAAAAAATAAGTTCGTTTTAGGCGCAGTAAACTAGTTTTAGCCAGTCCTGGGTGGCTTCCCACCCCCTGGTTAATTCCCCATCGTTGAAAGGATCTTTTTGATTCACGAGTAGCTTCTCTACGACCGTCTTTTGCTGTCACCATCATTTGCGGGGCTTATTGATCAAGAGGTGGTGACCCAACCCAAACTAGGTCCATACGATTGATCCCGGAGGGAGGAAGCTCCTGGAACCCTTTCAGATTCAGGGCAGAAAACAAACAGACTTGGCTGTTTTGTCTTTAGTTTGTAGAAGATCTTTTCTGGAAGGTTCCGGTCTTTTTCATCAATGGCTGTTCTGCAGGGTTGTGATTTTGGTGTGTCCGTGAGGTGAGGTGACCTCGGGGTCTTTGCTCCGCTGTCTTTGCTGCTTGGCCCCCGACTGGGCTGTTTGGAGCCTGAACTCAATTCCTCTGCTTCCCATTGCTACGTCCTGCCACCCCGAGTGTCCTTGCCTCTCTCTTGAGGAGACTAAGGGTGTTCGAATAGATAACTTGGGGAAGACCCTGACACAGGGTGCATTAGAGGCTTGTTCAGTTCCCAAAGATCAGTCCCTTATGAGAGAGTTGCCCAGGAAGCCTGCAAGTTCCCGGCGCCCTGTGTCACCTCTGTCTCTGTCCGTGGCCCCGAATCAGCAGCTATGTGTCTCTCCCCCGCACTGCAGGACCCATTGCCACATCTGCACCGTGGATGTTACCCTGCCCTGAATCTCATTTACAGCATCCCTCTGCGGCTTTCTGCCCCGAGAAATGCTCCCCAAACATCTCCCCCTGAGACACACATGCCTCTGCTTTTGGAATCAGCCCCAGAGATTCACCCCCTCCCTCCCTACTACTTCCCTGGCATCCCCCCAACAGAGCCTGGCACGCTCCCCAGATGGTCTCTTTGCACTGTCTGTCATTTCATGATAGCCCTGGTCTCACTTCCCTACTCATCCCCCGTTTGCCCGGTGGTCTCTGAGCGATGTGAAGGTAGGGGGTGCAGCTTCTCATTTTTATCAGTCCTGCCCCAGCACCGTGCCTGCTTTCGCCAATTACCACTGAGCATTTTCGAGAAATACTAGGCATGAGAAGTGCAGCTCAGGGATGAACTGTGCATACCGGTGCCTCAGTGAGCTCAAGGGTCCGTGTCTTAGGTGGGATCCCCCAGAAAGCAGGGAGAAAGCAATGAGGCTGCGCTGGTCCAAGGAAGTGGCAGAGAGGGAACAGGGGCCGGGGCAGGGAAGCGGGGAGAGACAGCGCAAGGCGGGGTTACCGCTTCTGGGTATGAGCCAGGCTGACTGCTCCATCTTAGGCGCCCTCTTCCCAGTGGACAGAAGGAACTGACCCTCAAACAGAGGGAGGGAGAAGAAATTACCGGCTGGTAGATGCCCGTCTGCCGTTGTTCACAGACTCCAGCCTTCCACGTGGGGTCTTAGCCTGCCCATGCTTTGGGGTTGTAATATATCAGCTGGAAATGGAAATGAATATATGTTTGCATCTGTATACGCATATAGATCTATGTGTGTGAATTTGTGAAAAATATATATATATATATTCCCCAGAGAACATGTATTATATTCAATATTAGATTTGAACATATTATATTATATGTTATAATATATAAAGCATATATATGTAATATATATAACATATATATATGTCTATATATAAGTATATGTATTAACATACATAAAATAATATTATATATAATATTATATATTATTATTGCATATTTGATACATATATGTATAGCCCATTTGGGCTGTTATAACAAAGTACCACAGACTGGGTGGTTTAGAAACAACAGACATTTATTCTTCCAGTTCTGGAGGGTGAGATTTCAAGATCTGCTGGCAGGTCTGGTGTCTGCTGAAAGCCTGATTCCTGGTTCATAGACGGACATCTTCTTGCTGTGTCCTCACACGGAGGAAGGGCTGAGAGAGCTCTCTGGGGTCTCTTTTATAAGGACACTAATCCCATTCATGGGGGCACCGCTCTCCTAACCTCATCACCTCTTCATACCATCACCTTGGGGGTTAGGGCTCCAACATACGGAGTTTGGAGAACATAAACATGCAGACCGTAGTGATGTATCTATAAGGAGATTTGCTGTAGGGAAGTGGCTCATGCGGTTATGGAAACTGAGAAGCCACAAGATCTATAGTCAGCAAGGTGCAGGCTCAGAAGGGTTGATAGTGTCAACTCCGCTCTGGGTCTGAAGGCAGAAGACAGATGTCCCTGTTTGAAGGCAGTTAGACAGAGAGAAGTTCCTTCCTTTTTGTGGGAGAGCAGATCCTTACGTTCTACCCAGGACTTCAGTCGACTGGATGAGGCCCACCCACATGGGGAAGGGCAGGGCGCTTCATTCCGTCTCCTGATTCAAATGTTCACCTCACCCAACAAGGTCCTACTGTATACAGCCTGGGGAACTATATTTAGTATCTTGTAATAAACCACAATGGAAAAGAATCCGAAAAAGAACATATATATATGTGTGTAACTGGATCACTTCGCTTTACACCTAAAACTAACACAACATGGTAAATCAAATGTACTTCAGTTTTTAAAAAATGTTAATCTCATCAAGAAACGCCCTCCCAGACACACCCAGAATCATGTCTGACCAAATATCTGGGCACTTTGTGGCTCAATCAAGACACTTAAAATTAACCATCATAATGTCTATGTGTGTGTGTGTGTGTGTGTGTGTGCATACATCTTAGGATGCATTCAGCACCGGGCCGAATAAAGGATAGAATTTTTGCTGGAACATTATGGGCGCTGTAACAGTATTCTAAAGTCATTCTGAAACATCATTTGCAACGTCCAAATACAAATTAAGGGAAGGATCTGAAAAGATAAAAGACCGAACGTAGCCAGTTGGCCAGGCATACAGCATTCAGACAGCTGTGATGCCACATAAAAATTCCAGTAACTCCAGAAAGTTTCCATGTGTTCTGCACTCCCCACTGCTGAGGAAAAGACACCCATCCGGTCACCCTGTTACGGTCACGGCATTTGAAGGAACTGGCTTCTGGCAGCCCTGCAGCTATGAGGTCTGCAGGGTGTTTCTTTCTCCCTTACACTCCTCTCTAGAAAATCTGTGTTCCCAGTTCATTTAAAGAAGGCAGGGCGTTATTTCATTCTTCGTTATGGAGGAGTAACATTCCATTGTATCTATAGACCACGTCTTCTTTATCCATTCGTATATGGATGGACACTTAGGTTGCTTCTCAGCCATAAAAAAGAGTGAAATATTGCCATTTGCAGCAACATGGATGGACCTAGAGATGACCATACTAAGTGAAGTAAGTCAGACAGAGAAAGACAAATATCGCATGATATCACTTATGTGTGGAATCTAAAAAAGTAATACAAAGCAACTTACTTACAAAACAGGAACAGACTCACAGACATAGAAAACAAACTTAGAGTTACCAAAGGGGAAAGTGGGGGGATGGATAAATTAGCAGTATGGGATTAAGCAGATACAAACCACTATACATAAAATAAACAACAAGGACCTACTATAGCACAGGGAACTATATTCAATATTTGTAATAACCTATAATGGAAGAGAGTATGAAAAAGAGTAGATATATGTTATATATAGAAATATATATTATATGTAAGAATATATATTATATATAAGAATATATATAATATATATATATATTTTATATATATATATATAAGTGAACCATTTGCTGTACACCTGAAACTAACACAACATTGTAGATCGACTCTACTCAATTAAAAGATAAAATAAGAAAAAACATTGCAGGGCAGGTTCAAACTCAGTTTAATTTTAAAATGACAAAGGCAACCACCCTGGGACGAAAGTGAATCACTCACTTCTTTACTCTGCATAAGAAACAAAACTCACAGCCTCACAATCTGGTACGGCGACCTAAGTGTGGAGAAGGATGTGGTCTCATTTTGTTTCAGGAAGCAGCTGTTGTAACCGTCCCTCGCATCCCGGGCTTATTACGCTTTACCCAGAAGTTCTTTTCACTTTGGAAGGTGGACGGTTTGTAGTTGTGTATAAAGTAATAAAAACGACCAGATAACCTGTTTTTGCAGAAGATGCCAGAAATAGTCAGTTCAGACAAAAGGCGCACATGCCCAAGAATCTTTAAGCAATATATAAGAAAACGCAAAGATTGCGACGGTCTCTTAAGCTATGCCTTAGGACTGTGTCTATTTATGAGAAGCTAGCTTCGCCATGACAAATATTTCAAACCACGGCAGGCACTGTGTCTGGTGGGGTCACCCAGGCATCTTATCAGCCAGAATTCCACGCAGCAGGCATACAGGGACTGCCTCATTGTCTGGAAACCCTAAGGATGCATATTTACCCTTGATAAACGCCTAATTAGAGCTAATGTAATGTTATCCTTGTAAGCAATTCTGTAGTAAGATAGACCATTGGATGAATCACCACAGATGTCTCATCTCTCCTGTTAGGCAACCAACATTTAACATCTCTCTATGGCATTTCATACTTAAAACTTGGCAGTGAAGATTCAGGACCGGAATGAAATTTTTAAACAAAGCGTGAGGCATACCATTTGGGCTTTTTCTTGAACACTAGGCTTCGGGATAATGAGCTAGATTCTCTCATCCTACAAGACCTTTTGGTAACCAGTCCAGTTCTGAGGAAGAATTGGCCCCAGTGTTTCAGAAGATGGTAACTCATTAATCCATTAATATTGCTGAGTATTCATATATTAGTGTTCGTGGGCAAGACCCTTCCTAACAGGTCACTTCTTGAATTTGATGGCACTCAGCGTTTTCTAAACTCACATTTTCCGTGAGGAATCTCAGTGCATATTGGTGTTGCCAAGATAGCAGAACATCATGGCGGATGGCATGGGGCAGGGCTGGCCCAAGGAGGTTATGAGCAATTTAACAGGCATTTGTGTGTAAGGGTCTGAGCATCTGTTGGATCATTCGTGTACTTTCTGCTTCATCTTGCACTCTCTCGGATGGAAAGAAGTGTTGCCAAGTGACACGGAGAAAGCCAGTGAGCATTTCTGGTTTTCATTTCTCCATAGTCCTTTTTATACGGGTTCTCCCTGTCCCTTTGCAGTGCATTGTATGTGTCTTTTTTTTTTTTTTTTTAACAGAGTGCCCTGAGCTGAAAGGATTTCTTTCCTCCAAACTACATGGGAAACCTCTTCTTCAGGATAAGAATGAAGCCTATTTACCTTGTGTGGATAAAGCCTCATGCAGTACTGGTCCTATTTCAGCCGCTCAGTGAATGTTTGTCTAATACAAAGCCGTGAAATTCCTAGGAAACACGGGCGAGTGAGTCACAGGGGATACATGTTTTTGACATCTACTGTCGTAGTTTCTGAAACATAAAGAGATTCTGCAGTGCCTACATTTTCCCCAATTTCAGCCATGGCAGCTGCACCCTAGCTTCCCACAAATAAGAAAAAGGGGAGAAGACAATAAGGTCCTTGAATATCTCGATCTGAATATGTAGCCTGTCCTCACAGCCTGACTACCCAAGACGTCCGTAGATGGTTTGATTTCCGTTCCGTGCAGGTCAGGAGCTTCTCCAGGAACAATAGGGAGCTACTGCTTCCAAAACCCAGAGGCAGAGACACAGCGACCCTTCCAGCAAAGACGAGGGCTTGACACACAGAGAAGTATTTGTATGGGGAGCAAAGAAGAGTGTAGCTCCAAAGAGGCCTTTGCAAACACGCGTGTGCAAAATGAAATCTCTTGGAAGGGCCATCTGTGAATATCAAGGGAACAGTAGCACTGGATTTTCAGCGTTTTCCAATTCAGGCATATGCTCCTCGTGCGACTCAGAATTTAGAATCGATTCTCGTTCCTGAGCATAACTGACGTCGCTTTGATCTTCATATATTTGTCACGGAAGCCAAGAACCTCCTAGGATACCCCCCTTCCTCTTCACGTTGGGATTATCCACAACAAATCTCAAAAGTTATGTCGGCAAGTGAGCTCTCGGTCACTTCCCGTTATACCTCCTCCGTCAGTCTTGGTTCCACGGCCAAGAGCAAAACCCACGGTCCGTTCCTGACATCTCTCCTCCCCTGCACGTCCCCTAGAACAGCATCCAGTTCATAGGATGGTGTTTCTGCCCCCAGAGCCTGTCCCGAACCGGTCCCTTTCCTTCATCTCTAAGAGAGCTGCTCCTTAAATCCATCCCCCTCTCTTACCTGCACGCCTGCGATAGCCCCACGGCTGAGCGTCTGCATACACCGTCACCCCACTTAGTCTTTTCTGCGCCCCAGCCAAAGGATGTTCAGAAGCGTAAACCTTCCACCATCTTCCTTACCTAAAACTGTCCGCTGACTTCCCGTCACATTGAGGACGACATTCACACTCCTTCACATACAGTACCTGGCCATGCATTTTTTGGACCCATCTGTCTCTCCAGCCTGTTTTCCCGTCTCTCTTCCCTACACCCCCTCCTCTTCCCTTGTCTGGGTGGAATTAGGTCACTTAAAAGGCAGGCACTTCAGTGTGATCAGCACAGCTACCTCGTAAGTCTGTGCACAAGCTACGTTGTCAATAACCTATTGACCGTTGATAAATGCCAGTTCATTGCCATTTTTATATTATTTTTACTGAACGATAGTTGATTTATAATATTGGAATAGTTTCAGGTGTACAACAAAGTGATTCAGTTATAGATAGATGGATAGATATTCTTTTCCATTATAGGTGACAACAAGATATTGAACAGAGTTTCTTGTGCTCTACAGTAAATCCTTGTTGTATATCTGTTTTGTATATAGGAGTTTGTATCTGCTAATCCCAAACTCCTAGTTTATGCTTCCCCTCCCTTTCCCCTTTGGTACCCATAAGTTTACTTTCTGCGTCTGTGAGTCTGTTTCTGTTTTGTCAATAAATTCATTTGTATTATTTTTTTAGATTCCACATACAAGTGATATCCTATGATAGTTGTCTCTGCCTGACTTACCTCACTCAGTCTCATAATCTCTAGGTCCATCCATGTTACTGCAAATGGCAATATTTTACTCTTTTTTATGGCTGAGAAGCAACCTAAGTATCCATCAATAGATGAGTGGGAAAAGAAGATGCGGTGTGTGTATATATATATATATATGGCAATATCATTCAGCCGTTGTTAATCGGTAGGTTATGTAGATGTTGCCCGTCCAGAGATCTCCTTTCACTGCAGTCAATAAACATTGAAGGATTTAAACTGTTTGACGTGGAGCTTGTCTTGGGGCCACCCTGGCGCCGGGGAGAAGGGAAACAGCTATAAAGCCCAGAGACATAAATCGCCCTTCGGATATCCTTAAATTGCAGGGTTAGTGAAAACTGACAAGGTATGAATATGAATAATGCAAAGATGGTTGCAGTTAAGCCGACCTTTTCTATGTATGGGGGAAAAGTTTTTTAAACTTCTTTCAGAGTGAATGTGTGTATAGGCCAAGACCCAAGACCCATCAACACTGTTGTGATGTTTTCACAGATCTCATTTGAAAATGCAATAAAATATTTTGGGAGAGGCTTTCCTTGAAACCTATAGTTGAGAAGTAACGGTCCCCTCCAGTCCCTCTGGGCTGGGGTTTGGCACACAGGTTTTCCAACGCAAAAGAAACATTTAGTTTTCTGTGGAAGGATGAAAGGGAGAAACTCGAGGCCTACATCATCTGTTTAAGGAAAGAGAAGGAGCCTTGAATAGGGTGAGCAGCTTCTCCCCAAATTTATGTTCATGTTGAATCTCTGAATGTGACTGCCTTTGGAAAGAGGGTCTTTGCAGGCGTAACTAGTTAACGATGAGGTCATCCTGCAGCAGGCCGAACACGAAATCCCATGAGGGTGTCCTTAAAAATGAGGAAGGCTCAGAGGTGGGGCGTAACTCTGGAAACAGAGATGGGAGTGATGCGCCTACAAACCAAAGAACACCAAGGATTACCCACAGCCGCCGTCAGCTGGTGAGGGATGGTGGGTGGAGCAGATTCTCCCCAGGAGCCTCGAGAAGAAACCAAGCCTGCTGACACCTTGGTCTCAGACTTCTGACCCCCAGAGCTGGAAGAGAATAACTTCCATTGTCTTACCAACCCAAGACATGGTATTTTGTTATGGCAGCCACAGGAAACTAATACGCCTAGCTTTGTTGACAACCTGGGTTCTGGAGAGAGTATAAGCTTTAGACGTTTTACAGCCTTTCCGACACATTTTTTACTGGAGCCTCCCAAGGGGAGTTCGTAGGTGTCACAAAGAGTACGAGAAGCACCCCCAAATCACAGATGCTCCAGGATTGCCATCATTGGAACAAGTCTGGAATTGCTTTCTCTAAATGACCCCTTCACATTCCTCTGAGCCTCATACTTCCACGCCCATGGTAATCATAAGCTCAAAAAGAAAGCTAAACATCCCTCCAGAGCCTCTCCGTACTGTACAGTTGCACAAACTCCGAAGCATGTAAACAACAGGCTCAGCGTCCTCAAATTCGCTGCCAAGTGTCAGAGATAAATCATCCATCTTCGGAGCCCACATGCAATCACCAGCAAATTAAACTTTATCTTTCACATCCTGCATTGCCAAATGCTTTTTTTGTTTTTTGGGGTTTTTTTTGGTAGCAATTAAAGATGCGTTCCCCCAGTGACCGTTCTCGGGAGGAGACTTCGAGGACGCTTTCCAGACCGAGCACAGAGGATACCACTTCATGCTTTCGATGGAGAGGAGCTCTGCTGGAACAGGGCATTCTTTGTGACGTGGCCAGGAGGGATTTCAACGTGTAGATTAATGGACTTTCTGCAGAAAGAGATCACCGTGGTGTTTCATTGTTTTCTTGTTTTTAACTGAAGTACAGTTGATTTGCAGTGTTTCAGGTGTACAGCAAAGTGATTCAGTTTCATATATATATATTTTTTTCAGATTATTTTCGATTTTAGGTTATTATAAGATATTGAATAGAGTTCCCTGTGTTATACAGTAGGTCCTTGCTATTTATCTGTTTTATATATAGTCGTGTGTATGTGTGAATCCCAAACTCCTAGTTTATCCCTCCCTTTCCCCTTTGGTAACCATAAGTTTTGTTGTTTTTTTTTCTGTCTGTCAGTCTATTTCTGTTTTGTAAATAAATTCATTTGTTTCATTTTCTTAGATTCCACATAAAAGCAACATCATACGGTATTTGTCTTTGACTTACTTCACTCAGTATGATCATCTCCAGGTCCGTCCATGTTGCTGCAAATGGCATTGTTTCGTTCTTTTTTATGGCTGAGTAGTATTCCATTGTATATATGCACCACATCTTCTTTTTTATCCATTCCTCTGTTGATGGACACTTAGGTTGCTTCCGTGTCTTGGCTATTGTGAATAGTGCTGCTGTGAACATTGGGGTGCGTGGATCCTTTTGACTTAGACTTTTGTCTGGACGTATGCGCAGGAGTGGGATTGCTGGATCATATGGCAGCTCTATACTGATTTTGTTAAGGAACCTCCATACTGTTCTCATAGTGGCTGCACCGGTTCGCATTCCCGCCGACAGTGGAGGAGGATGAGGAAATCGTATTTTTAAAGAGACAAGGAGCCTAAGACTATCTTCGTGTCCTGGATTAGATTGTTCAAAACGTCCCGTGAAGTGTAAACTCAGAAACCACAACCTGCCTTCATTTTCACTTCTACAGATGTAAGGGGAAGTAGGAAGACCATTGAAATAACAGTATCTGTGTTCATGCAGTAAAAAAAAGAAATTAACCTTTCATAGAATGTGACTGTGGTTTTGCTCTCATGAAACTTCTTTTGACTTTTGTGACAGCCAAACTCCAAGGCTTGGCTGCAGGCACGTCCCCTTGGTTATTTATGTGGAGCAAAGGCAGGGACCAGGTCAGTAAAGCTGTAACCTGACATCCAGGAAGGACACACATCATAGGAACACTTTTCTTTCCGAAGGCTCAGATTTGTCACCTTGAAGCTCCCACTTGAGAGTTTCAGAAAGGAATCTGGTGCAGGGCGGCTTGCGCTAAGAGTAGTAAAAACAATCTCCAAATCTCAGTGGGTTAGGACAAAAATATTTATGTCTAGTTCCTGCAAAGCCCAACGGGGTTGTTCCCCATTGGGGGATTCTCTTGGGCCATTCTTTGGGGTGAGCAGCCCCTAGAAGAGATCCCCGTGGCCTACCTCTCCTAACACTCACACTCTTGTGTAGACCTTTTCCACAATGGACCAGCTTTGTTCGGTGCAACCGATGTGACAAAGGCGATGGTTATGTCACTTCTACAAGTACATTAGAAAAGAGATTAGTCTTACTGTTACGTTTAAGTTTCCTACAGATACGTGTTCTCTTCTTTCTTGTATGTAGAATAGACTGATCCCTTGGGACGCTGCTGGTTGGGAGATTTTTGTTTTTAACGGGACCCGTCTTCTGCCCAGTTGCCGTTGGTCAGAATCAGTTAACATTGTCCAATGTACCAGTATTGGGGTGGGGTGCAGGTAGGGTGTGGTCTTGCTGTGTTCCCTGGGGGATAAAGGATCATTTCTGTAAACTTCCCCCAAATTCCTGGTCGTCTCTACCTTCATAGCCCTGCAAGATTTCGTGTTTTGATCAACAAGCTCTATTTTCAGATTATGTGCATAACCGTCTTCCTTCTTATTAAAAAAATCACAGCGGTTCTAAATATTACATTAGACTGGGATTCAAAGTCAGTGCTGTACCCAGGTAGTCTATGTCTGCTTTTTCATCAGGGTCAGTGTATTGCTAGAACGGTCAGAATAAATTTCCTGTTTTTTAGCACTATAGCCTATCTTTCAAAATTCAGATTCACATTCCCTGATGCATCTGATCATTTAGATGACGTTGAATTCTGGAGAACTATTTCAGGTTGGTCGGGCGTATGAATTTACAGTTTCAGGAACATGTGACATATGGAAAAATAAAGAATGACTATAGCATTTAGGTGAACACTGCGTGTTTCGTGTCTTTGCCCCTTTGCGTAGCATTTAGAAATTTCCGTCATAAAAAAAGTGCAGAGGAACAGTTGCTTCGGAAGATACGAAGTTTCATAACCCACATTACCTGCAACGGAGAAGATAGGTAAGTCTGGTAATGCCATTGCTGTGTTTGCTAGCAGACTTTCTGATGCATGAGAATAAGGGCAAATGAAAAAAAAGTGAATTCCTTTATCATCATTTCTCCGTAAAATAACCTTTTTCGCTGCTCCGGAAGAGCATTTATACAGCAAGTGACGTATTACATGAAGTTAAATATTTGGGTTGGTGTGTTAGTAAATTTGCCACTAGAAATACAGACAGCATTTTAAATTCCAGGTTGCTTCCTGGGCACAAACTTTTCAGTGCAGTCTTCAGATCATATTTCTTGGACTTCCTCATGAATTGGCTTGAGGACGGCTGCTACAAATGCTAATGAGGTGATAGGAAGCATTTAAACCCAGCTTCTGTGAGATTTGACACAAGACATTATTTCTGGATATTTTCCCAGCTCCCTCGACTTTTTCCCCCCTAAGCAACGCTTCTGTCTATCCGCTAGACTGCATCACAGTGACAAAACACTACACTGTGTTTGCGTGATCAGTCTTTAAGCAACAAAATTGCTGATTTATCTGTTTGGTGAGTCTCTCATTTATTGTTCTCATTTACTCCATGGGAAAACCACTTCCG